GAACAAACAGCTCTATATGTTGCTTTGATATTTATCAATTTTCAGGAAACATGTGAAATAAATTTCAGGTCCATTTCATTATAGTGCCTAACAAGATTGTGTGAGGTAGACGAAATTGACCTTAAAACGATCGTATTGTCTTTTGATGTCCAAAAATAGGCAGATCGGACTTTATCTAATGACTACATAAATTTGGGATTTATTATTATTATAATATTCTAATGAAACTGAAAATTGTATTTTTTTTTAGGATAAACAACAATTTTACCTGGCGTAGCCGTTCATAAATGTTTTTCTGCATTTATCTTCGAAAAATGGCGTATTTAATGGAATAGAACGTTAATACAGTAAACTTTCTCTTTTTTCTCCGCAATAGGCTATCAAAAATAATTTATCTAATGTGTATGTGAAAAATTATGTGAAAAGATAAAAAGTGGCAATTGTTACCTTTCATACCTTAAGTTTCGTTCATCTGATTCTGACCAATGCTTATATACTAAATATCTATTTATATGCCGCTATTATTGTTGTTGTTACCAATTATGTAAATCAATTGTATCTGATTTTATGCCCTTTATGGGCCCTGTAATTTGGGAAATAAAAAAAAAATCTATTCATTGATAAAACGTAATATGGACTGGTCCAGTGTCCAGTTTGCAGGTCATTTAATTTTCTGTACACATTCATGCACGCTCTGATTTAATCAATATACTCGTACGAAAAAGCATGAACAGTTTGAAGGTAATCTAATAATAACTTAATCCAATCAAATTGCATAAGATTCAATAACAATGTCAAGTCCACATCATAATGAGTAATAGAGGTAAACTGGGTAGGGAGAAAATGACAGATATTTCAAGTTAATATTTATGCAATAACGAATTAAAATTTGTCAACCAAAAGTTTTGCTACAATTTCAAAAACATGTCGTTCTGTATGGGTATAGTTTTCGGATCTTTCATTAGCGTATTTACGGCTATAAAAAGTTTGGGCTTCAAAATTTCACACAATTATTGACTTTATACAGAAAATTCGTACTTGTAAAACATTTAATAGTTCACAAATGATACGCGATTTTAAAGTAAAATTATTTCTTAAAACACTGCAAAAAATTTCATTCATATTGATAAAGTGGTATCGTCATAAAGTGCGTTGAAATGAACAGTGGTATAGCAAACATCGAATTCCCTCACAAAATGTTATCACACACTACAGTAAGGGGAGTCAGTTAAGTTTGTCTATTTTTAGATACTATACAGGTAATCTTTTGACACTACGTATACAACCTGTGTGACCTGTGTAGTGATTTTGATTTTACGATAAATTCATGAATGAACGATAATTTTATGAATGAACATGAGCACCTGACCTCTTTCTTAAACACCTATTAAACATATAAAACCGTATTTAATAAGGAGATAATTCAGTCAAATTTTCAGTACTAAATCAACAACTGAAATGATTCCATTTTTTGATGAAACATCGTACGAACGGAGAACGGAATCGCAGGTATAAAAATGCACTTTTTTCCCTTGTAATGACCGCGGATCTATAATTTTTATAGATCGGTTGAAATCCCAAAACTAATTTGCATAATGGAAATTTAGGCGATAGCAATACATCGGAATGACCTCAAGGTCATCCTCTGTAAAAACCGATTATATATGTTTTGGATCACTGTTACGTATGTTTTATGCTTGTAAATCCACACGCCCAACTTTGTTACGGAGGTTAATATAAAACCATTCTTCAAATGCTGATACAAAGTAACACCCAACTCTTTAATGCTAGCTTTTCACAACAAATCATTGACAATACAAACTAAAAAACTGTTTTCTATCAAATTATATGTGTCTTTTAGTCAAATGCCCTGACTTGTTCATGTCAAAATCTCCGGTAACGATTCATTGCACCTCACCCAGTAATATTTTTTACCTTAACCGAATAGTGTTCACCTTAATTTTATATTACTATAGTAACCAAAAAGTAAAAAATATTAACCATATTAGAAAAAATATAATTGTGAAATGACATTAAGATGAAATGTGTTATTTTCAAATATATATTTCTTATAACGGAGGTTATACTTTCGCTGAATAACCATTTAAACCCAAAAGAAAACAAAAATACAATAAAATTGTAAAATATTCTTCCCCAATATGATGTTTTACACATGTATCACTATTTTTGTCAGTTGACATTTCAGGCGAAATGCATCGACAGCGTATTTGGTGTGATTTACGTATAATGAATGTTAAAATCACACAAATATATTTACGATTTACATCACTACAGAATATAATTTTATCTCAGTATACATTTTAATCTCTAAGAACACGAAAAAGATTATCTGTGACATATGTTAAGCTTGTAATTTGTGGGTATTTGCCGGCGACACTGTAATTTTGTAATTGTACCCATTTTTGGGGATGACTGATAGGCTAAGAGTTATGACCCTTACTGGCCTTAAAAGTTTATTTAGGGTTTCGGATGATAATATCGCTTTTCAAGAGTTGTGCCCTCGGTTACATTAAGTAGTCCTCAAGTCAGTCATTTTTAGATGAGTTCCCCAAAAATATTCCATGCATGTTCTGAACTTGATTTTCCTGAAAATGAAGACAGAGACATATAATATAATTGTATTATATGTCTCTGATGAAGTGTACCGGAAAAATGTTGTATCCAGGAAAATAAATGGCAAACATGTATTTGAGTGACTTTAAATCAATTTTACTGTGAACATTATTCCTGTCATTTAACATGTTTAATTTTCAATTTTCTGGACATAGACTTTCTCTGAAACAAATTACGGGGAGCACATTTTACTTATGGATCGAATTTACAGTACGTTTTGCTTTCTTTTGTTTTTTTGTTTTTGTTGTTGTACATGTTTTACATTTGTTTACGTGTAAAATACAAGTGTCCAGACACACTACTTTGTCAAAGTGGTATGAGCACGGGATTGCCAAGACTTAATTTATTGCATGTATACGAGTGATTGGCGGCATATTTCGATCTGCTGGCACGGTGTAGTTGTGGTTGATGTTACAAGTATCCAATGAGAATGTAAACAAAGTGACAATAAGCAGTGGACCAATAACTTTGCAAATCAGAACAGCGAAAGCTTTCATATAATGTGGTCAGTGGCATGTAAAAGGGGGGGGTTTCACTTTTTAAGCAACAATTAACAGTAAAAAATAAATATACATGTAAGGAAAAAAAACAGAATTGCCCCTAGGTCATATGTTGTAAAACTTGTCTATAGTCCTCTCATTTTCTTTTTTTTTCATTTGCACTGAAAAAAAATTGCCAAAAAGTGGGTGTGCACTTTACACCCCCCTTTAGGCTTAATTTCCCCTTCTAGCCTTTACGTTCGACCAAAGACCCACCAACCAGGCTTGAGAAATTACTATCTGGCCTGTAAGAATCTATACAAAATTTTCCAAAAAAAGAGCTCCAGGGCTGTGGCTGAGAAAGTTTATCATGAAAATTATTTGGATAAAAGCAACTATTGGTCAGTGTTTGGCATTCAACAATGAGAAAAACAGACAACATATAGTCAGCTATAAGAGGCACCAACTTTAAATGTGAAACAATTCAAATTCATGAAAAAATCAATGGCCACAATAAAGGAAACACAAATAGAACAATTTAACAAAAACAAAATTACAGGCTCCTGACTTAATTGGGACAGGCAGGATTAGAATGTGGATATTATTGTTGATAATAAAATAAAAACTCTTTTCTTGAACAAATGTTCATTTTCCTCTATCAGTTTAATAAAATAATTAAAATACACGTATTAAAAAACCACACTTTAATGCATGTTTCTATATTTATTTATTTGAAATAATTGATATTTAGATTTCTTGACGCTTAATTAGTCTTTTTGTCGCTAATTTATTCTTCTTGTCCCTTCTCAGGGGTTCAAATTTGCTTTAAATAATGAAAGGTCCAGGACCATTTGAAATTTTCAGTAAAACATCCTTCATAAGAAATTCAGTGGTCCTGTATCAAGTATCAGTGTAAAGAATGGTAGGTCTTTTTTTATTTAAAAATGAAAAGTCCACTCCTAGAAAAGATAGGTCAGGGACCTCGGTGGACCCACACTAATTTAAACCCCTGCTTCTTGACGCTTCTTGTCGCTAATTAGTGAGACCCACACACTTTGCAAATATTCTAAAACTATTTTGTAAATGGAAAACTATTAATTGAAAGTACATGTAGTTCATCTTAACTACTGATATTATTCATTAATAATAGTAAATGTACAACGAATTTAATTCCATCCAAAATTGTCCAATATAGAAAAATTATTAAGAAGTACCAAATTATTGAATTATTTTGGTATCAAAGTACATGGTTGCAAAAAAATACCATACAATTCAACTATCAAGACTTTTTCTGCTACACCATGCGCCTTTCCCTCATTTTGACATTTCCATGTTCGGTGAACACTGAAATCTTGCTGCAAACCCTAATTTGGCATTCAATTATATTTCTAAGTAACAGTTCACTTAATAATAAAAATTTATACTAAGTTTCAAGTTCATACATGTATACATGACCATAAACTTCCTTAACCTATCACATTTCTATGTTCAATGAACCATGAAAACTAGGCCAAGGCCCATATATTTTGCAAACAAATTAAATAGTTCACTTCCCTTATGGAAAAATAAGGCTTCTTGCAAATATTTGCGGCAATGTTGCTGCAAATATTTGCGGCAATATTGCTGCAAATATTCATTTTTCGTATGCAAATTAGTTTTCTTGCAAACAGTTGCTGCAATATTGCCGCAACAATTTGCGGCAATATTGCAGCAAATGTTTGCGGGAAAATCAGTAGCTATGATTGTTGCAGCAATATTGCGGCAAATTCATTAGCTGCAATGTTGCAGCAATATTGCAGGAAAATTAATTTCTTGCAATATTGCAGCAACATTGCAGCAAATCTTTCAACAATTTCAGTTGAAAAATTAGGAATTAAAAACTAAGCATTTAAAAAAGTATGATTTAATAATAAAACAAAATTTTCTCTGTCCTCTATAGGTTGTTGTGTTACATATCTGTGTATCCTTTAGTTCTGTTTCTCTGTACTCACTGTCCTTTAAAGTTGAATTTTCTGATTTCAAATACTGCAAAATAAAAGTTGAAGAATTTAGCATACATTAAAAGAATAACTAAACATTATAAAGATATAAAGATATAAGTTACTACTATATATTGTAAATTCTGGACTTGTAAAATGAAAATAACTCTTTATAAAGAGATGATTACAGACCAATTTTCCCAGCATTTGTTTCACTTAAAATGTCAATGTCTAAAAGTGATCAAGTCCAAAATTGCATATTACTATAGAATACATTTAACCTTATGCCAGTACTAGGTTGTTATTGCTTTTTTGAATATTTGTTTTTCATTGAACTATAACATAATTGGTCTTGTCTATTCTTTAAAATTTTTGTGATTAGTTGTGTATATAAAAAAGCTAAATATTGTTGCCATTTGTTGATAGACCTCTTATTGGCAGTCAAATCACAGATCTCTAATTTAATACCAAACTGCTTTTATTAGAAGATTTCTTGTTTCAATTTAAGTAATGTACTTTCTAAAACATATAGTTTTAAAAAGATTTTAAAAAATATCTCCTGTCTTACACAATTTTAATAATATTCATGTGCATAAATCTATTGTCTTATACTTTTGTCAACTCTATTAAGTTAAGAAAACTCTTTAAATATCACTATTTTGAACTGTAAGAGCAAGCACTTATTCAAAATGGTGGACATTCAACTCCATTGTACTTACCAAAAGATGTTATCCAAATTATGTGCAAACACCAATCTTCCTAAATCCAAGAGTCATGTCAACTGAAGGCTATCATATGCACTATCCAGTGTCAATAGAATTAATTGGAACTTTTGGATCTAAATCCATTGTAAAATTCATATTACTTTGTTCATGATAGAAGACATCTTTGTTTGTTGTATGCATGTTCATGTCCAGTTCAAATTTTGAATATGTTGATCAAGGTTGCTTAGGGTATTGTGACAGTGTGATCCCTTTGAAATTTGCCCCTGATTATAAATATCAATTGCCTAAATCTTGAATATTTGTTATATATTATAATAAAAAAATAATTATACATATATTTTTTTTTATCTTTGATGTTATAAGTTATAATGGAAATATACAAAGAAGAAATGCTTTACCCTTAATTTGGCCTCAAACTCTGTGTACATTAATTTATGGTACTTCCTGTCTTTACCACTACACAGAGATAAATGCAAACCAGATGGCACATTACATTTCTATCACCAGCTCATATTACTAATTGCAAGGAATTGTATATTTAAAAGGAATGGAAACGCGGCTCGAGATCAATCGGGATACCCGCAGAGCACCCGCAGAGCTATAATCCATGTCTGTCTCAGTCGGAAGTATGATGAATAATATAAAGAATCATAAAGAATCATGACGGAGGTCCATTTCCTGTCATATAGATCGGTCTTTTAATTCACGGGGTCATCTTGCTTGAGAAGATATAACGGAGAGAGAAACCCAAAATCAGGAATAAACTTTTAATCCATGAAAAAGGCAAGGCCTTAGGTATCATTTCAATGCCTCATCAAACATACGTTTGTAATATTGTATTATGTAAATTCTCATTAAAATAGACCTTGGTCTTGAAACTTGAGTGAGTTTCATCCGGATTACAAAACAAAAATTACTGTGTTTTGATTTTTTTCTAAAAGCTCGACAACTACGAAGTGCAAAACAAAACAGTTGATATCATTATGAAGCTGAAACCTTATTCTATCATTTTGCCCTTTTTTTAAGTTTCTGGTAAAATTTCTGAATTTTCTACGATTTTTCGAAATTTCAGTTTTGAATTTCATTATTCTGTCAAAATATGTCTATCAATCTGGGAGTGTACTACGATTTCTTTTAAATATTGGAAAGTAGAAAGAACAAAGTGAGAAAATGAGATATCATTTTAAAGAAGGAATATTTTCCTACAGTTTGGTCTAAATTACGAATGCTAAATGTAATTGGTACAATGTAAATGATTTTATTTCGAAACATGTTGAAAATTTGAAGTAGTGCGTCAATAAATACATCGACACTTCGTATTTTGGTAAGGGTTAAATAACTACTTGAAATAGATGTGACATTGACATACAACTTAAAAGATTAATCTTTTTTCTATCACATAGTGTTGGTTTTATGAAAATGGTGATAAAAACGAATTTGCTATGATTTTTCAAAATCCCATGTTTATAGTTCACATTGACGCCATTTTGTTCAGTCAAGTTCCACACCGACGAAGTCGGAAATTACAGGCAAGAAATGTATATAAGACTTCCGATTGGGATTGATTGTGCCGTTTTATACACGATTTTAATCATTTATCTTTTGTCAAATACTATTTTTATACTTAATCGTAGTTTGGTATTGTAGTTTGCCATTATCATGATTATTAAGCTTTGCAGCAAATTACCACAAGCTTAAAAGCAAAACAGTTCCTTCCTTTTTTTCTAGAAGAGCAGTAGTCTAGAGGTCGCAAAATATTTCTTCGGTGTTAAAATAAATAATATGCGAATGTCGGAAAGTTTTAACTGTTTCTAATTAAAAAAATTATTGCACCACGGCATAATTTAGCATTTATTAACAGGTGAGCTCGGCGTGATTTCTTTTTGACACCTTAAATCAGGGGGAGCCTATAGTTAGTATACACTGTTCCTGCTTAAATATATATACGACAAAAATTAGCTGTTCAATGATACATGATAGATTATACCTGCAAATTGGATATCCCAAACCGGTGTTTATTATAACACCTATTATCTAAGTTCTTTTATCTAGACAAAATACTACATCTGTTCACGTACTTCTTCCTTTATACTTTTCTATACCAGTCATATTCCAAAATTGAAAAGTTATTTTTTAACTTTTTGCATTACCTTAAATCTTTTTAAAAACTCGTATAATGTCAGATTTCATCTATTAATTGATCTTAATTGTTGCATACCATCGTAAAATATCAAGAGGAGGTACAAGAAAAAAAATGTTTTTCAGAAGTAACTTTGTTTAAGGTTGTATTTTTTGTTTATTTCATTTAAGGAATTGTTTATCTAAATAGACAATTTCTTGTTTCATTTTATGATTAAATGACCAAGTTCGATAACTACTGCCAGATAAGTAATGAGCCAGTTAGAGCGACGGGATGTAATTAACACACCACCCAAGTCAGAGATGCATCATACAATTTTCTTTGAAGTCGGCCGCGTTTCCATTCCTTTTAAATATACAATTCCTTGCTAATTGAGATGAGAAGATAATTTGTGTATACATAGTTTTAAAATAATGATACTAGAAATTAAACAAAATGCAACCTGCAGGTGAGGCTAAATTCATTTGATGGAAAATATTAGAATTAAAAATATTGTTCATAGAAAAATGTCACAAAAAAGTGACAAAAAGGTATAATAATACATGTAGAACAAAAATTATTATGACTCAATTATTCAGATTAAACTTGTTGAAATAAATACCAAAGTATTCTTGAAATTCTTTCCTTACAAAATATCATATAAATGTGATGTACAGTTTAGGAATTCTAAAAATATAAGCATTGTTATTTGAAGATTTATTTAAAATAAATTATTCAAATATCCAGATATTTCTGAGTAAAATAAAGTATGACGACAACAAATTTAGATAGTTAGAAGTATCCATAACCAAATGTTCAAAGAAACAATATGTTGTGTATTATTTGAACCTTAAATCTTAAAACAAATAATCATATGTAATATTTTAAAATGCTTGAAATATTGGTGCAAACTATCTGATTGTCTGACATTATTAAAGAAACTTTTCTTGCAAAGTTGTTGCAAAAAGTCATTCCTTAAATAATAAAAGAAAAGGTTCCTGCAACTTTCTAGCAAACAAATTCTTTCTTGCAACATTGCAGCAAACTTGCTGCAATTTTCTTGCAAACAAATTTTGTTGCAGTAACATTGCGAGAATGTTGCAGGTAGCTGCAACAACCTGCAACTTTCTTGCAAACACTTCTTGCAAACAAATTTGTTTGCTGCAATATTGCCGCTATATTGCTGCAATATTGCAGCAAACTTTTCATTTCTGTAAGGGTTAATAATGAACAATCACCATGTGTATTATGTTCAAGTTTTGTTATCATGGTTATGAGAATTTATCACTTATGATTAAAAGGATAACTATATATATGTATATTTGGTGAATTGGATCATTGCAAGGTCTACATTATAAATAAGAAGATGTGATTTGAATGCCAATGAGACAACTTTCCATCCAAGTCACAATGATTGTATAAAAAGTTAACAATTATACATGTAAGTCAAAGTAATGGCCTTCAACACGGAACCTTGGCTCACACCGAACAGCAAGTTATAAAGGGCCCCAAAATGACTAGTGTATATTAAAACAATTCAAATAGGAAAACTAATGGTCTAATCTATATAAAAAACGAGAAACACCTATGAACCACACCAACAAACGACAACCACTGAACAACAGGCTCTTGACTTCTACAAGTCTTATCAGGCAGGGTTGACGTGACCTGCAGCACCTCATTTTATGAAATAAGTAATTAAGTAAAAGTTTTTTGGTTAAGTCTGTATCTCAGATACTATAAGCAGTAGGTCAACTATATTTGGTGTATGGAATGATTATAAGGTGAACATGTCCTTCTGGCAGGTTTCATCTGACACTGGCCTCATTTTCATGGTTCATTTGTGAATGTTGAGTTGTTGAGTTTTAGTCCATTTCTCAGATACTATAAACATTTAGGTAAACTATATTTATTACTTGAATGGAATGATTGCAAGGTGTATTTGTCTGTCTGGCAGGGGTCACCTGACCTTGACCCCATTTTCATGATTCAAAGATCTGTTTTAAGTTTTTGTGGTTAAGTTTGTTCCTCAAATACAACCTTACATGTATAAGCAATAGGTTAACTATATTTGGTGTATGGAATGATAGTAGGGTGCACATGTCCCTCTGGCAGGTTTCATCTGACCTTGATCTCATTTTTATGGTTCATTGGTCAATGTGGAGTTTTTGTGGTTTGATCTTTTTTTCCAGATACTATGAGCAATAGGTCACCTATAATTGTAAGGTGTACATGTCTGTCTGGCAGGTTTCATCTGACCTTGGCTTAAGTCATTTTCATGGTTCATTGTTGAATGTTAAAGTAGTTTTAGTCAGTTTCTCGGATACTATTAAGTACTTTTAAAAAAATAAAATAAGAATAACATAAGTAATAGTTGCATGGAAATCTTTGAAAAAAAACCAGTTGATATTTATATCTTTTTACAACAGGTTTGTATTAACTAATGAAACATTTTTCATGTCCCATTTCAGATGATGGCCATGGCATCTACCATGTCTACTGCCTGAAATATATTGTGATCATATTTACTATAAGAACCATATCTTCTAATTTGATAATTATTGTTTTTAATTATTGTTTGCCTACCTTTTTTACAGATATATCTGTATATTTTCAGAATTGTTTGAAGACATAGAAATGGATTGTGGAGATAATTCAGGCCAAAATGAAAGGGAAGAGAGCCTTATGGAAAAGCAGTTACAGACGGAAAATTATAACAGAAAGTGTACTTCTAGTTTGTCCGAGTTGACTAAATATGAACGGACCGATAATTGTGGAGAAAGTAGTGAAATTGACAAAGACGAGGCGAGTGACACAGATTCTGAAGAAGAAACTTTTGATTATGGTGATGGAGTTGATTCAGTGACATTTGAAGCCATTAAATGCATTATTCTTGATTCAATTTTAGCTACAAGGAAAATGAAGAGTAAGTCTCACGATGCAGAAACATACTTAGCAGCATTATTGGGAATCTGCACTAAAGAACAAAGAAAAGAGTTGATGAGAGTAAAAGATGACTATCATCACGACCATGTACCTTTGTCATTAGCTTGTAAGATGGGAAATCTAGAGGTAGTGAAGTTTTTAGTGGAATATTGTGAAGCAGATGTGGAAGGCCATGATAGTAATGGGAGGCCACTGCTTTGGGCAGTAGCCAATCAGAATGAAGATATTGTCAGATATTTACTTGAACGTAATGCTGATGCTGGAAAGAACATAGGGTCAAACTTTAATTTATTAATGTTTTCCATGAAGATTTTTACACAACCACCATTTCAAACATTTGGTTATGGAGTTGATGGTTATGATGATGATGATTCTAGTGAAGAGGAAGAGGAAGATGAAAACCAAATAGACAAACATGAAAACAAACATTACAGAGATGGACTTGAAATAAA